CTCTCTCTCTCTCTCTCTCTCTCTCTCTCTCTCTCTCTCCGCCTGCTTCACCTTCGCCGTGAATCACTCGCGAAAGGGCGTACGATTATTTATAGGGGCGTGCAGGTTAATAACGTGTCGCGGCGTGTCGTGAATTATTCTTAGGTCGTCGTGCGTGCATGCGTGCGTGCATGCGTACGTGCGCGAGTACGCCCGCTGCTCCGTCCGTCCGTCCGTCGCGCGCGCGGTTAGATAGGTTAGCTTTTATCCACGACGTGGTCGCGGGGACTAGATGCGTTGACTAGATGCACGGCAAGGGAGCGTCTTTCTTAAAATATACTTTTCACGCGTGACGACAGCGACGACGACGACGACGACGACGACGACCAGCGAAGCGAAGACAGCGGCGACGGAGGCTCCGACGGCGTAACACGCGCGGACGGCACTGCTTCTCCTCTACGCTGCCAGAGAGTATTCAAATTTAGACACGCGTCGTCTCTCCACGGCGGCGAGTGCTGCCCTGGCGCACACACAGCGACGACGACGGTGGCGGCGGTGGCGGCGGTGGCGGCGGTGGCGACGGCGGTAGCCGCTTGCGGTGAGCTTGCCGTGAGGACGGTTAAAAAACCGGGGCGGTCGCGCGCGCTTCGACCAGTTCGCCCCGAGTTCGCGGTCGAGCCTGAAATAAAGATTTGAGGAAGTCGCGCTGAGAACCGAGCGAGAGAGTGTGCGTACCGTACGCGCGTGCGAGCGAGCGAGACGGGTGGAGGAGTAGCGCGCGCGCGGGAGTAAGAAGAGAGACAAGGACAGAGAGGGAGAGAGAAAGAGAGAAGCGACGTGAGCAAACGAGCGAGTGAGAAGGGGAAACGAGTCGCCTCGGTTAAGCAGTCGTGTACCAGTCGGTCCACCTCGCCTCTGAAGTTCGCCTCGGCGAGTCGAGATACGTCGCCGCGTCGTGCCCGCTCATTGGTCGATAACGCCGCCGACGTCAGCGGCTGCCGGCCAATCGCGTCGCGCGGCGCTCGCGCGCCATCTCGCGTCGTGCGTTACTGGCTCGTCGCTGGCTTGGCGTGTAGCCGCGTCCTTCTCGCGCTCACCGCGCGCCGTCGCGTGTCCTCGCAGCTGGTCAGCGCGGCGCGGCGCGTGCGCAACACGCCGGTTTGCATTGGCGGACGGAGCCGAGCTCCGCGCGCGAGACTGATCCGAAGTTCCGATGAGCGCGCGCGACCAGAAATTTGCCAGCACGTAAAAGTTAATTTTTCGTTCGTTCTCTGCCGGCGCGTCGACCGATCACGGTGAGATCTTTTTCAATCTGATCGACAGTCGATCTCAGTGATCGCTCTTCGATACGGTCTGGCTTCGTGCGAAGCTTTCGTATGATATGCACGATCGTGCGAAGAATAGAAGATTCATAAGAGAGAAAAAAATGCGAGATACGTGTGTACGCGAGATGTGTATGTAGGTATAATAATGTCTATGCTCGAATGCTCCCAAGCGCGAAGATGTTTGTTGCGTCAGGTAGCGACAGACTTGTCCTTTTGCTTTCGTATGTTCAATTTTTCACACGTACACTCTCACACACTCGCTCGGGCTGTTAAACTGTCAGATATATTTCTAAATCGTGTCGCTCGAATATTTATATACAACGGCTCTGATCTGAAAATATCCGGAACTGGAGAGGCATTATCGACGCCTCCGGTGCGCCTCTGATACGCGGGAGTCACGTTGATAGACGATGAACAATCCGAGATTCCGGACAGTCATCTCGGCTGTAATTTGCAACCTTGCAGTGGCATACGTGTCACACGATCATTAAGACGCCTCGCGGCGTGCAGGTTTACGTGGCTTCGCGGTAAAAGAGAAGAAAACGAAGGAACGCGTGCTACAGGCTTTGCATATCGCGAAAAAAAGGTGATTATGAAACAAAGTTAACAGCAAGATTGCCAATCTCGTCGCTATGGTAGGAGAGATAGAAAGAGAACGCGCATACATGTGATAATATACGCGATAGAGACGAAGAAAATGAGAGACGAATAAATACAGAGAAAGACAGACAGAGACAGACAGAGAGAGAAAGAAGAAGACAGAGAGAAAAAGAGACAGAAAGAGAGGCAGAGACACAGCACAGAGAAAGAGAGACAAACAGACAGAGAGACAGAAAGACAGAGAGAGAGAGAGAGAGAGAGAGAGAGAGAGAGAGAGAGAGAGAGAGAGAGAGAGAGAGAGAGAGACAGAGAGAGAGAGAAGGATGACAAATATACTTAAGCGCGTGCATTGGCGTCAATGCGCGATTTGGCCGGCGTGAGAGGCCGCATGTTTACGCAAAAGTAACATATTTACATTTTATTAATATTTCGCCCGCCACAAATAGCGGCGGTATGGTTCAAGAATCGACCTAAGTTTTATACAGAGTTACCGCATTATAAAGTGTGTACGCCCGAGTCGACGAAAATAACAATTGTGTTATAGACTGGCCGCGCGCAAACGCGGCAAACTAAACTCACACGCGGTTGCATTATGCATGTGAACGATTCTATTTAAGGCGTTATGCCACATTCATACGTTCGATCTCTGCGTAATTTTTAGGAAGGCGCTCTTTCTCCCCTCCCTTCTTTTTTTTCTTTTCTTCTTCGTCTCCAACGGATACGCGAATCTCGGCGAATCGATCGCGACGTGAGGTTACGAGCGCGCATTCGGGACACGACCCGTGATTTGCGACAAATTCGATTTTCACCCGACTTTATACTCGTCCTTAGCCGTCGTGTAGTCAGTCACGCGCGTTGCGTGAAATACATACGAAAGTCAAGAAATCACGAACCAACAGAAAATTTTACTTCACATCCGAATCCGACTGTCTATCGCGTTACCAAAATTTTTGTCTCTGCGAGTTACTAATATCGTGAGGTTGAGTTAAAAAATTAACATCCCTCTGCAATTTTTCCCCAGAGAAGTCGTGATTACTGTACAATCAGTGGCAGGAGGATCGCGTCTTTTGCTGCAATGTACTTTAGAAGCTATCTGGTACTCAAAAAAAGAAATTTGTCTTCTGAGGATCGTTAAAGAATACATTCTTCTGTTGCGTAATACAGATACATTGCGAAACTCGCTGAAGAGAGTATAGCAACTTATCTGCCATTGATTATCGCCTCGTAATTGTCCGTAGAATAGATGGAGCAACATTTACGAATCTAAAGAAAGCGCGCACGAACTTTCGTGAAGAATACAATCCCTCGTTTTCTAGGGAGAAAAGGGAAAGAGAAAAACTGTTAAGACATAAAATGGCGAGAACGCGCGAGATCCTCCGACGATCCGATGACAAGAGGAGCGAGGAGTGCGCGCGTGATACGATCTAAAATCGCTCGTTGACAGAATTTTCGAAGCTGCGACCGACATCCAAAACCAATGTCCCGATTTCCACCGGATGCATCCGAAATTGACGTCGATTTGCTAAGGCGATATCGAGTATTGCGGTTGCATGTCAGTCGAGTCGCCGACACTCGCCGGTCCATCTATCGACGGTGGACGGCCGATAGCACGGGTTAGATGTTGAATCCGTTCTGACAAATATATAAATTCTCAAAATATCCGTATGTGCGACCGTTTCCGCGAATATATCTCTCACGATACGCTATTAGTATTTTCGAATCGCTCACGCGACAGCCGGAGAATAGCGAGATATTTCTTTAATCCGTCACTTTTCTTCTCTTATTGAAATAGAGCGGTGTAAGGGCAAAAAATCTCCCCTTACAATTGATTGATGTCATAATAGATCTTATAATAGATGTTATCATTTTTTTTAAGGTTTAGCGACGAAATGAAATCCCGTCATATATGTCACACTGGCCCTTATTTTGAACTCTCTTTTATTGATAAAAATATCTTTAAAGGTGGTTTATAAACTTTCCAATTGTCTATCACTTTTAGAGATATTTTCACCGATAAAAAACTTGAGAATAAGGGCGAGATCGTTTCTATTTTTCCAAATGTGTTAACTCTTTCCATTCTTAATCAACTATTCTTTGTCCTATCTGAAAATCTCTCTTCCAATTTTACACGAATAATATCTTCCACTCAATAAACAAATACTAAAAAAATTATTTGTAGAATAAAAAGTTTGTTCATAGAAATAAACTTCACATCCCACATATAAATTTTTAAGTATTTTTTCTCACACTGAGAAAAATGTTTGGTATTTGTAACTATAATCGCACAATGAAAGATTTAATAGTTAAGAGATAAGAGATTGTTGGCACTAAAAGTAACTATAATTTCGGTAACATTAACCATATTTTTCCTTTCAGTGCACGAGAAAGATTTACACGTTAAAACATTCAACCCCCTGCTCATCTCACGTCGATTTCCAACAAGCCTAAATAGATATTACGATCAATCGTCGATACTACGTAAATCGACTTTATCGTTTATGCGGAACGCACTTCGGAACGTATCCGCCGTCCAATAAGAAGGCTTCTTTTCCGCGTATTCAAAATCAAATGCCGCCATTGGGCATCGGTTGCGCCACGAGATGTGTCCGATAAGAGCTGCGTTCAAGCCGTTCCGCACTTGTAGCGCGGGCGAGAATATTCCGAGTTATGGCGCCGAAAAAGCGCGACGCGTGGCTGCGGCGGCAGCGCGAGATCGCCGGTGATCGCCATGAGGTAAGCGCGAGTTTGACGGGGCCTAGAGAGAGCTTAGGCCGCGATCGCGCACAACTGTTGCACCGGATCGTTGAGGAGACAGGCGGAGAGGAAGCGCCGTCGTACTCGCGTCGGATATGCTGGTCGAC